CAGGCAGAGAAACAAGGGAGTAAAATAGCATCAAAAAGGAGCTGAGAAAGCAAAATCATCCCCTTCCTCTGGGAGGAGAGTGGCACGTTTCCTTTTCCCCTCAGTTGTCTCCAGGAAAGAACTGCTAATTTTGCTTGGCTTAAAACACACAAACTGAAAGAATATGAAAACAGTAATTACACAATAATTACACGTCAGCATTGTTATACTTGAACACTGAAGGCAGGGAAAGAGGGGGTAGTGCTGTTGCTGGAAGATGTACTCCTTTATGGTAAGGGAGCACTGGAGGAGGGGAAAGACCTTGTGAAGGTGGTTGTGTAGGCCTAGCACACAGAAAAGCGTGACTTCAAGAAATATTGAACTAGTTTAAGTGGTTTAGTCTAATGCACAGATGCATGAGGGGGGAACATACGAGGCTGTGATTAAACTGTGGTGTTGCTGGACAATGGAATGAGGTTGGGGGAACTGAGAGCAAATGTCTGAGCAGAAGGAGAGCGAAACCCTCGAGCTGGTGTGGAGACTGCAGGGTTTCCTTTACTGTGTCCTTTGGAATAAGCTGAACCCACACTTCAGGGATGGCATGACTCTGGAGATGGAGAGCTGATCTAAGCAAAGAACAGCCAAGTGTCCGTCAGATGGGCGTTTTATTATCAGAGCTACATTGTTTGGAAGTGTTTGGTCAGTTCGGTGACGGCCATTAGAACACAGACTGGCTGAAACTTTGAAGGTTTTTATGAGAGGGCTTTGAAACTATTTTGTATAGCATGCAAAAATCATTTGGGCAGCTTTTGACATGTTTTGAGGGGACACTGGCTAAATACCAGTGGAGAGGAAAATGCCTGCCTGCCTGCCCATACATGTTTCAAGAAGACTTGGAGATGTGTTAGCAGAGAGGTAACGCAGCTTCTCAGGTGATAGCCACCCCATCCATGTAAAAGGAGGTTATTCTGTTTTGTTGAGTGGATACCAAGCAGGAATGAAAACGTTAAATAACTGTGGTTGTCTGGGCTTCGTTCCAGTAGCTTCCTTTGGACTGTCTCTAAAGTCATAGATTAGCATCTCCCTCCTCTTCTCTCGCAGTGGGTTACAGAGATGCTCTGATTCTGTGCAAAGGCACCTAACACTCAGCCAGATGCTCACTGCCTTGGAATATTTTGAGCTCTATCCAAATACTTAGGATCAGAACAGGCCTGGAGCCTGCATGTCCTCTGCAAGGCAAAATTTGGTGTTAAAATGGTGGCAGCTCTTTACAGTGAGCATGAAATGAAGTTGCATTTTGGAAGCTCTTGTTTAGTATTTTTCATTTTCAATTTAAGATTGATTGATTTTTTTTTTTTTTTTTTTTTTGTTCCCTTCTTAAGGGAATGTGCACTTTTAGAGGAGACTGAGCAGTTCCTTTTTAAAGTGAGCTTGCAAGAATGTTGTTACCTTCTCCACTTCACTGGAAGATGAGGGTTTAGATGGGTGCAGCAAGGATTAAAGTGTTGCACTTAACATTCCCAAGAGAATGCTTTCCATTTGTTCTTCCTAGACTTTATTAAAGAGAGATTTTGAATCCATTGTTGGAGGACTCAAGGCTCAGTCTTTGAGCTGTATCTAGTGGTGGTGAAATGAGAAGGTTTGCATGTTGTAGGGGTTGAATGCAGCATCCCATCCAGATAAAACATGAGTAGCTGTTTGGACGCTGCTGGTATTCAGCACCAGTCTTCCTGCAGAAGAGGAGGTATGTTACCGTCATGGCACTGAAGACTGCAAGTCCCTTGTAATGTTTTATCATCCTTATCAAATACCATCTGCATTCCTTGTGGGAGTTTGCCAACTTGGCATTGCACAGTTCCTATTGTGTGAGCAGAGCAAACTCTGGATTTTGATTTTTAAAGTTGCTTTGGAGACAAGGGAAAAAGGAGTGGGGAGCCATAGTGATCCAACTGCTCTGTGGTCTATGCAGTTACAGCTTGCTTCCCAGCATTGGCTTAATTCATCTGTAGGAATCCAGCCAGAGACTGGTTGCTTGGAGAGCTGTCCCATGGATTTCCATGGTGAGGGAGCAAAGATTGCTCATCGAGGCTCTTAAGGGCTAGTTGACTTCTGCATGTTGCTCTTTCTCTTGCACTTTTACTTTTGGCTGCACGTTCTGCCTTGTTTCAGAGCAGGAGGTGAAATCAATTCAGTGCATTCCCCAAACTGTTTTATAGGCAGCTTTAGGTACAGTTTGTGGCTGTGCGTGCTACACACCAAAAAACAGCAGGTTAAGGATTGTTAAGGAACTTGGAGTAGCTGTAAATCCCTCTCAGCCATCTTCCTGGAACTAAATCAAAGCATCTGCATAGGGAAGTGGTGGGGAAATGTTCACTGACTTGTATTAAAAGCAACTATTATTTCATTTTAATTATGTTTGGGGTTTACTGCTGAGTCTCTTCCCATTTGAGAACTTTATGAGACTGTGGGTCAGTAGGTGTCATCGTATCCCATGAGCTGCTGACAGATTTGAGACTGACATTAAACGTTTTCTGTAATTCATAGCTTTCACTAATGGTATACTTGAGGATGCCAAATTAAAGAGTGGCTGTTAATCTGGAATGGTTTTTTCAAGTTCCCGTGCATGGTTTAACTTTGTGACAGTTGTGAATGTTTTGGCTTTAAAAACTAGTTTGTAGTTTTTCCCTGGTGTCTTTTGATCTTCACCTGACCTAAATAAACAAGGAAGTCGATTCTAGGTTTAATTTTGTGGTTCCAGATTTGATGTAAAATAGGTATAAATTGACTTGGGGCTGGGAATATGTTATCGTTAATACTGATTTGTGCAATTCTAAGCAGGTTTTGTAGCAAAAGCATCTGCCTATGCAAGACAATTTCCCCTTTCCCTGTGCTTATGGCAGATGGTTTTGGCTGTTCCCCAGAGCACGCATGCAGGGATTACACAGTGTTCATATGGCCTCATAAAAAGGATGTAACATATAAAACGGTATAAAAAGCCATGGCTGGGCAGGGTAGAGTCAGTGTGAACTGAAGCTGCTGCCTGCAAACTCTGTGGAAGCTGTGACCTTCTCTTTTCCTTGAAGGAAAGGCAGGAGATAGGCAGACAACGAGGCTGCACCAGCACAGGGAGCTGCGGGAGGCTTGTGGGAAAGTCAGCCCCTAATCCTGTATCCTCAGAGAGAAATTGTGTGATGCAGAGGGGCTGCAGGTGGAATTCCTAGTGAGCTGACTTAATTGCTCTCACTTGTTAACCTACCGGATGCTCTGGTGCTGGTAGTTCTTGTTTTCTTCCTAAGCCTGGAAAACCAGCCTGCCTCTGATTATTTCCTTCTTTTTCCCTTCAGAGCAGGCTGTTCCTAGTGTGATCTTTGAGATGCAGGAGATCACAGTGAAGTACCAATAGAGGAGATTCATAGTGACAGCCTTGGTTTGCTTTTTCTAGCACTTAGAAACTGGTTTTTAAACAACACTTTTATTTGCAAGGACTGAGTTACAAACAGTGCTTGTTGCTGGTGGTGAAGCCTTTATCTGCTCAGATGATAGTTACAGGCATAAAGCCACTGTTAGTAACCATTGTGAGAGTAAAGGCTTTGGCATTCCAGGCGTAGGCTGTTCTTTCACCTGGCACTGCCAGTGCTCAGAGTTTCATGTGGAAAATACATTTCTTGATGAAACCTCCCCTCTTGAGCCTTATTGTACCAGACAGTGTGAGCTCAGAAATGGGGGGGGCATGGCCTCCTGCAGGGTTTATTCTGCTCTCGTACTCAGCGGGTAAGAGTAGAACGATCACGTAAGAAAGTGGATGAATCAGTAAAGCTCGTGTCTGAAATCAGCTTTGGGAACAAGGTGATGTCACTTTGGAAATGTAACACAGTTCAAATATCATCAGTACCGACAATTAATGGTGCTGATGGACTCTGAGGTCCATCTTCAGATGGTCCTTAATGCATGGGCAGTGAGGGGGTACCGCAGTGGCAGTAATGGAGCCGCTCTCAACACATCATAGAGCAGAAGCCTATGGTACAACTCGTTTATTGCTGATCTGGCTGGAAACCTCCTTTGAGAATATCTTTGGTCCATGATTTTTGCTGTTTGCCAACGATGGTGACTACAAAGTGACCCATTCCGTGCGACAAAGCACAAGTTGACACCAGTGCCCTCATTCTTCTTGAGCACTGGATTTAATCTTTGATCTCGGTTATAAAGTAACTGAGTGCTCTGGTTCGCCCCTTGCGCACAAGTGGATTCCTTGAAAGTCTCTTACACCCTCGCCTGATTTTTTTACAGTTAAATACATGTAGAGATAAGTCTGGTGTTGTTTTGGGTAGAAAGTATGAACAGAGCAGGGCTGTGTTCGTCCAGGACTGACAGCAGTGTTACTGTGTGTGCTCTACCAATATTAAACTTGCAGAATCAGATATTTGTCGTAAAACTACGTACCAGAAAGAGCCCAAAGGATAACACCTGTGGTGAGACAAGCCTGTTAAGGGCAGCCATGGGACAGAATTAAGCTCTCTTATGCACAACGTGTGGTCCCATGGTTACAGACTGTGGCTGCAATGCCATCACAGACAGTTGCCCAGGCAACAGGAGTCCTGATTCTTATCTGTGTAACCTAAATACTGTGATTGTTCTTACAGAACTACAGTGATAACTGAATTTAGCCTTTCCACCCTAGCCACTGATGCCTTATCGGGAGCAGCAGAGGCCTTGCAGCACAGGGGCCCCTCAGCATCCTGCACTTTACCATTCCTGTCTTTGAGTGTGAGCGCTGCCGTAGCCAAGGCCCAGTTTTGTAAGGCTGTTCTGCAAGGAAACTGCTGTGGCCTGGAGTATAAATGAGGCTTTCTATGACCTTAGAGCACTTTTAATTGTAATAGTCATGCAAGAGAAAAACCTTTCGTGGTATTTGCTTGATTGCCTCCCAGTGCAGCTATTCCTGCTGAGCCTGGCAATAGAGAGAGGATCTTCATATACGCAAGATAACCCACTGATGCAGTCCTGCATCTGTTCACTGGCAGGGTGACTACATGTCAGGATGGCGACTTCCAACCTGGAGAACCAGCTGCAGAGCGCCCAGAAGAACCTGCTGTTTCTCCAGCGAGAACACGCCAACACACTGAAGGGCCTCCACGCCGAGATCCGGCGCCTGCAGCAGCACTGCACAGGTACCTGGGAGAGGACTCGGCCCATTCAGTGCTTAATTCTGTTCACAGGAATGGGGTGACTGCTCCCTCCTCCAGCTGTGACACCACCAGCATGCATTTAGGGTGATCGGCGTGTATCTGTGAATGATCATGATCATGAAGTAAAGATTAATGTGTTTATTTTCAAAGCTGATAGTTCCACTTCTTTTACAGACTTGATAAAGGGCAGTGGCTCTCCTGCTGTTGCTTCAAGTTGGGGGAAGAGTTCCCTGTGTTTTTATTGAAGTGTGCTGTTGTAAATGTGCTCACTGGGTGGTGCATGGGGTAATGATGATGTTCTAACGAAAAACCCCAACTTTTCTCCTCAGATTTAACCTATGAGCTGACTGTAAAGAGTGAAGACCTGTCAGGTAAGGAACAGCACTTTTCTTCTAATGTTCATGTTAAACTTCCTCCTCTGCTTCAGTGTCTGTATTTTCTCCATCACAAGTAGGTGAGAATACTTTGCACTTGGGATGTTGACTGTATAAATTCCAAAGGTACAACAGTAGTTTTCTACTTTCCAGACTTACTGTTATTTATGAAGTAAATGTCAACAACTTTACCAAGGTCACACAGGAAATCTTTGAGAGCCAGGAATAGAGTGTAGAACTGCTGACTCCTCTCTCTTACCAGACTAGTTAGCTCCCTGCATGCTGTATGGGAACATAGGATGTTCATCTAGGGGCAGAAGAGTGATACTGTTATTAGCTGGTACTGTAATTACACCCTGTGTGTTAGCCTGCCTGTTCCTGATGTGTCCTCAGTGTCAGCCTTAGTGAGAAGTGTTAGCCTTAGAGTCACGGGCTGCAGCTGCCTGTGGAGAGGTGAAGCTAGAGCCTGAGCTCCTCTTCCTGGTGAGCTGTGGCAGCAGCTCCGCCACCCTTTCCAGCCAGGCTGACATTGGCAGGGGGAGAAGTTCCTCTTTAATAAGCAAAGGATTTGCAAAATAGCTCAGATTTTCATCAAGTTCAGGCATGGTTTCTGTAATCCCTGTTCCCCAGAACACGTGAAGCATCTCTGCTTGGTATCAACGCCATTAAACCATGGTGAGTGGCACCATTTCCTTAAAAGCTGTCCTGTTGCTTCTGAAGAGGCAGTAATTTTCAGAGCATTAGCTGAAGTTACTCTTTGGGATGGCAAAAGGAACCCTACTGCACTGTTTTTCCTAGTGGCTATTGTTAACTTGAAGCACTTCTGCTTTTCCTGTTCTTCTAGAAAATGGCACTTCAAGAAGTGATGAACTCAAAAGTAAGTGCAAAGATTTGGAAGCTCAGCTGAAAGCCAAAGAGGCTGAAAACAGTGAGTTACTGAAAGAACTCGAACAAAAGAACGCAATGATAATGGTGCTGGAAAACACCATCAAAGAGAGAGAAAAGAAGTATTTGGAAGAGTTGAAAATGAAAAGCCATAAGCTCAATATGTTGTCGAGCGAACTAGAGCAGAGGGCCAGCACTATTGCCTACTTAACTTCCCAGCTGCATGCAACTAAGAAGAAGCTGATGAGCTCAAGTGGGACTTCGGAGGGGACCCCTTCTGGCAGTCCCGTGCTGTCCAGCTATAAGCCGTCCCCCCCCAAAGACAAACTGCCGGAGACCCCGCGGCGCAGAATGAAGAAGAGTCTGTCGACACCGCTGAACCCCGAGTTCGAAGAGGCCTACAGAATAGGGTCGGATAGTCGGAAGCTGCTGTTGAGAGAGCCCGTGGATGCCATGCCAGATCCCACCCCGTTCCTCTTGGCCAGGGAGACGGCAGAGGTGCATCTCATTAAGGAGAGGCCCTTGGTTATTCCACCCATTGCTTCAGACCGTGCCCCGGGTGAGTCGCACAGCCCGGCCCGAGAGAAGCCGCACAAGGCCCACATTGGGGTGGCGCATCGCATCCATCACGCCGCGCCAGCCCAGCCCCAGCCGGAGGTGGAAACGCTGGCGGTGGATCAGGTCCATGGAAGCAAAGTGGTCAGGAAGCACTCAGGGACAGACAGAACTGTTTGAGTAAAACCACTGCAATGCTCTGTTCTGTTGCTGTTTATGCACTGTGATCCTGTAGGATAATTAGCACCTGCAGTAAAGTTTCTTTTGACGCCCCATGCATGCCAAACTTCTTCCAGATCCATCATTAATAGATTACTCTCCTCTAAGGAAACCTAATAGGACTGTGTTCACATGGCAAGGTGTATAACTACTACATGCTGTGGCCAAATCAGGGGTACCTGACCGCTTGCTTCTGCGCACCGCTCCATCAGTTGTAACCACTCGTGTGGACGAAGGTGCGGGCTGCGCTGTGAATCACTATTAGTGCAAACAAACCTAAGTAGAACGGCTGCCAGCGTTCCAGCTGCCGGGGGCTCCTTTGGCTTCACATAAGCACTTCGCACCAACCTCCATGGCAAAGCCTTTCTCACACTAGTGTTGAAGAGAGTGCAGAAGCACATTAAAGTGAGCGAAGGACATCGTCTTCTTCACGTGCACCTGGCTGCAAACTGTGTTCTTAGTTTCTCTGTCTCAAAGTCCTGAGTGTCCCAGTGAGCATTACTTGATTAATCCCAAATACTTTGGTTTGTGGCTTTGTTTAACACTGGGGGGGGTGAGGGTAAAGCACTCTTTTAAAGGGTTAATGATCTCAGAGTATGAACACGGGGTGTTTGGGGGGCGTTTTTGGTTTGTTTCAGATTTTAACTGAATGGCTCCATTACACATTTCACTCTGTCAGCACACTGCACTTGTAGCACCTTCCATACTGGCTCAGAGCTCCTTTTCCAGGGAGAGAACGCACCTGGCTGTCCAATATGGAAATGGGTCTTTATGCTCTAACCTGCACTTTTTTTCTAAAGGGATGATTTTTGTTTCCCAAAAACCCTGAGTCTTGTCTGGGCACTGTCAGCCAGTGCTGGCTTCTGCCAGCCTGGAAACTGAGCTGTCCCTCTTGAATGTGTGTCTTAACAGTTAAGTGATGTAACCAATTCCTACAGGAGGAGAACCTGCCATCCTGGAGTTCTGTCCTTGTGGATTGGGATGGACCTGCCTTGCACTTGCCCCCATTCCCCTACTCCTTTCTAGTGAGCAACAGGTAGACCCAGTGGCTGTTAGACTACTTGATTCTTTTTTATCATGTATTTCCTAGGAAAGAAAGGCATAGTGGGAGCTGTGGGGCTGTGGTTTGAGGAAAGGAGCACAAATTGACCATTCTTCTTAAATTGTGATCAGCACCTCCAGCTCACCTCTGCTTCACTCTCGTCTGCAGCCTCTGAGCAGGAGCAGCAGGAAACGATGGCTCCCAAATGCTGCTAAGCTTATGATGTGCCTTTAAATATTTGGAACGCATAATCCCAGTGAAAGCTGATGAAGGATCCCTGCCTGCCCTCTGTCCTTCCCCTTCCCAGCTCTAGTGTGCCCCGTAAGCTTTCCTGCAGCTGTGTGTTGGTGTGTGTCCCTCAGGAGCTGTGGATCCCTGCCTGTCGGCTCTCCCAAAGGCACGGGCAGGATGACAGTGGCGCTGTCCATGAGCCCGTGCAGGCAGAGATGGAGCCCTCAGGCATCCTGGGCCCACCCCACGCTCCCTTGTGACTCGGGCTCTTGCTGTTCTGAAGCCCAAGAGACTCCTCAGTGTTGTGCCTGGCTGGTTGTGTGGCGGGAATTGTTCTGGGAATGGTGGGGAGGGATAGGGAAAAGCAGTGTTACTGGAAAAGGGTTGGTTCAAGAGTGTTACTCTGTGTTACTACTGTACGTGTATTGCGTTGCCCAGCAGTGGGGTTGGGTTTTCTGGCTGTTGTTGCCATATTTTTATGGCCATGTCTTGTATGACTGATCTACCCTGCTGCTTGTTCAAGGATGATGGACGGCACTGCTTTGAAGCACAGCAGAAGTGATGCTTTGGGCAATTAAAAACATTTCTTACAACCCTACAGGCCTTTGTGTGTGCGAGACTGAACTCATTACCTCTGCTGGACACAGCCCAGCGTGGAGCCTTTCTGAAAGGAAATGCAAATGGTGAAAATCAGTTCCCTCTTCAAATGCATTTATTGACAGTAAGAGCTTTTTCCTGTTGTACTATTTAAAGTCACGTGGGCTTAACTCAACACACACACCCACCATGGGGAGGAACCTCTGCCTCGTTTCATAATTACCTTTTCTGCCCCCCTAAGGGATTGGATTCTGTGGGGACGATCTCGTGCCACTTCATGCTGTCAGTCCGTGTTCAGGGTGAGACAGACGCCTTGCAGCACCCAGTGGGAAGTGTGCCTTGTGGTGTGAAGGTCGGCTTCAAAAACCAGGCCGAAGCCCATGGCGTTCCGTCTCAGGGAGGTTGTGTACACGGGGGTCCGGAGTGTGTTCTGAAAGAGCATGGAGGGAGGAGGGTGCTGAGCAGGGCGTGCGGTCCAGCGTGAAACTGGGCGCAAGAAGGGCATCGGGGCAGGCGACTGTCTGCAGAAATTCATTCTTTTTGGTTTAAGCCTTAAATAGCTGACACCCAGGTAATGTCCTTTGTGCCACTGTCAGGGACTGGGGAACAGTGAAGAGCACAGTGGGGGTGTAAGAGTGTCCCAACCCCTGAGTGCCTCAATGGAAAAAAGGCAGCAACTGTAGGAACCCCCTTGAGTGTGACTCTAAGAAAACCAGTGACAGCTAACACAGGGAGATGGGTTCAGCTGTACTGTAGTGCTAAGGACAAACTACGGCTGCCTGTGCTAAGGGGGAGGGAAGGGAAGGCACTGCCAGCAGGTGAGCCGTGAAACCAGAGGCAGTTAAGCAGCCCATCAGCCATTGTGCTCCTGGAGGAAGGTACCTGGAGCCGGAGCCTGTGCGCTTCCGTGGGGATGATGTTCAGAATGGGCAGCTCCACCACCAGGACTCGGGGCTTGCTCTTGACGAGGCAGCCGTGCTCCATGTCCCAGTCCGCTCCCTCTAGGAACAGCCCAGAAACAAAGCAGCCTGCAAGGACAGAAGTGCAACACCTCGTGTAAATGGAACTGAGTGCCTTTAACTGACAGCGTGGGGCTTGTTTTGGCTCAAACTGTCAGGTTGGGATTTTTAACTCCTCTGTTCCCAGTCAGGTCTAGCACCCAGCAGCAGTGCCTGGTTGGCCTCTTTAGCCAGAGTTTGTTACAGTTAGTAATTAGAGCCTTGCTAGTCGTAGAGGTTTCATAAAGATACATTTATGCATGGTCATACCTAATTGTGTGTGCGTTCTGTTTAAACACCTTTCAATACATGATTCGTGGTGTAACTAGAGCTTTGTACAGCTGCTGTGGCCCTTAGAAAGCAGCAGAGAGCAAGGAAGGGAGAGGTTGCAGGTTCAGGTACTTGCACATGGGTGGAAAGAGATGAGAAGGGCAATAGTGCTGGGTGCCTGCAGAGGCCCTGCAGGAAAATGGCAACCAGAGCCCAGCTTGTGAGATGTAAACCCAAGAGTATGGTCTGTGGAGGTGTGAGCTGAGTAACTCAGTGGGCCAAGCCAGTTCTAGCTCACCTGTCAACTACTTTATTACGTTTGCCAAATAATCATAATGACACCAACCTTGAGCAGGCTCTTCACTGATGTCCTGTGCACTCTTGTACTTGGTTACCTCGGTGTAGAGGGTGGAGTGATCCAAGGGCCACTTGTTTTTCCTGCAGGTGGCTTGAACAAGAGCCGTCAGGTAGGATTCAGGAATGTGCAGGCCAGAGAGCCACATCACCTTTGGCTCACGCTCGTTAACCTGCAATCAGAGACAATCTCTGGTCCTCCCACCACACCTCATGCTCAGCAGGGGCAGAGGCTCTCACACGCCAGTCTGGTGGAACAGTTCATTACGGTGCTTGGCGGTGACTGCCATGAGTTCAAGTAACTTACCTAAAGCAGTGTGTAGATCTTAGCATGCAGATTAACACAACAAAAGGCTTTCTGCAGGCGCTCACTTACCCAGGTGCTGTACTGCTTATACCGCTCTATAAAGAAAATAATCCAGTTTCCAAGTGTTTTGAGTGTCTCCGGGGCCAGGCGCCGCCAGATGCCAGGGATCTGCCCATTAAAGAGAGCCCGAGCCACATCGTCCAGCTCACTGCTCATCCCAACTTCCCCAGCCAAGGCCTGGAAAGACAGGGAGAGGCTGAGGCCTGACTGCCTGCAGCTGCTGTGTGCAGCAGGAGCTCTGTCCTTACTTACACGCTGGAGCTCAGCCAGCGACTTTGCCATGCACACAATCAGCTTATTAAAACGTTCCAGCTCCTGCAGCAGCACCACGGTCGTAGGGGAAAGGTCTCGTCCAAAATGTCTCCGTATGTGGTCAAGATCGAACGCTTGTGGTATTTTATTCTCTATATCCTTAGCAACATTTGCAATGTATTCATCTCGACTGATTCCCATACCAGTACCACCTGAAACCACAACAGTTCAGTCAGACTAGATCTGCACAGGCTCCCCCTTCCCGCTGTTAACTCCCTAGGGGAGCTTTGAGAGCTGACTCCCCTTCTGGCATTCAAAGCTTCACGCTCTGCTGCAGCAGCCTCCCTTGGGTGTGCTGTGACCTGCCCCCATGCCAGACCTTCCCTCTGTGCCCCCACCACCCTCCCACCCCCATGGAGGGTGCACCCTGAGGCGGCTGTGACACGCTGGCACCAGCCACCTCCTGTTTCTCATTTACACAACCACTCAGAGAGAACTCACCCGTTTGAGGCTGCAGCTCAAGGAGGTGACTCCACATATCCCGCACTGCTTGTGTGTAGTACCCGATCTCGGCATTGGCATGAAGACCAAACACCTCTGGAGTGTTGGCCAGGGGCAGCGATTCAATTGCCTCTGCAAGAAAAAACATGCTCCTAAAGACATGATAATTAAACCACAGCTACCAGGCAAAAGAGAGTAGTGCAGGGACTTTTGTTGCTGCTCTGCCTGGGGAAGTGTTACAGCTGGGATTGAAACACTGCAAGGATCAAATAAACATTTTTAACCCCTTGGGAAGATCAAACAAAATGAACCTACTGTTAATGGGGGCTTTTATTTCTTTTAAAGACATGAGGAGCTCACTGGTAAGCTCGCATTACAGGGGCTGCTCATATAAAGCAAGAACAGTCTCACCAGTGGGCTAGACCACCACGTACACACACACTGCCTGAAGTTCCTTCAGCTTCTCGCAGGCAGCAATGTCATATGCAGAGAATGTATAGTGGAAATAGACTTTATGGCTTTATTCATGCTAACGTAGTGGCAGGAAAAGCATTTCTTACCAACAAAGTCATCCTTTACAGTCCCTTGTGGAATCTGGTAATCAACCCTGTCGTTTTTATAGAAATGAAACACTTGGAATGTGTCAAATACGAAGTCCCCGAGGTACTCGTCCATGTAGACGGTCAGAATGCGGCGATCGAAGCTGTCGATTGCGCGCCCACCATACATCACCTAGAGATGAATCACAGCAGTGCTACAGTGCTGGCTTTTAGAGCAGCAAATACAGTTAAAAGCCCAAAATGCTCTCTGCCTTTGCAGTAACTGCGTGGTGTGATGCTGTGTGCCCCATGGGACACCAAGCACATCTCCTCTGTCAAGTTTCTGGTCTTAGTCTTGAGAGCACAGCTCCAGGCACTTCTAATGGCCCTTCTTTGAGCTTTATGTGCAGTGGCACCTTCCTCGGGTGCTGGCTCACACTCAGCTGTGGCTGAAAGTGACTACAATAACAGTTTTCTGCAGGATTTCATGTGCATGAACCAGCACTGCATATACAGTACACAACACAGTCACATACTGCATGGCAAGAGCTTTGGGAACACGTGTACAGCTCCCATCAGCAACACACACTGAACTAGTAACACTGGGAGGCTGTGCTGTTCAGTGCCTTTCAGCAGGATCCCAAGGGCTCTCTCATTCAAAATTAATTAAGCACCAGAAGTCCCCTGTGGTGCAGCTACACACAGTGGCCCTATTTCATTGAGGCAATGAGATTAAGTGACTTGCTCAGGGCTACACGGGAGTGTCAACTCTGCCCAGGAGGGATGCTCAGCTTTACTTGAGGATACTTGAGCCTCTGCAGACAGGAAACGTCATTTATCTGCATTCTTTCACCATCAAGTGCTCCTCGGTGACAGTGCAGGCACTCACCTCACCAATGAGGTATTTGAGACTGCTCCAGGGGATTTTATCATCATTTTGCTGGAAAGCTTTTGTCAAGTATGTGTTAAGGATTTCCATGCAGACCTAAGGAAGTTGTTGGAATAGGCGAGATAGGTTCATAAATGAGCTATACACATATATAGGTTTTATTTAAAACAGTCCTTGTTTTAAAACTGACTTCTCAAATCATTAAAAAGCATAAATACTCTTAAGAAAAGAGACCCATGAGAGAGGTAATGTAGATATGAAGGATTTGGAATCTGATGAATTTTTAGTGGCCAAAACTGGTATTACAGAAGATCAGGTGTCTGCATAACGCCACAGCAGCAGAAAAAACATGAAGCAAAATGTTCCTGTGAGAAGGGATCGGAGCTGGACAGACTCTGTGTCTGCAGAAGCGTTTGGAGCAACTCAAGAGTGTAAGAACCGTTGTAATCATCGTCTTACCTGGAAATCAGATTCATTAAAATCATACAGAACGTTCCAGCCAACCTTCCCAAACTTCCTTCTCTCCTGAACCACAGCGTGGAAAAACGCCAAGACGTAGACTAAGGATTTAAAGGCAGGATGTGGGCACTGCTCTAAGGCATCCTTAGGAATTTTGAAGTAGGTGGCTCTCATATTCAGCTTCAGACCATTCGGTGGTTCTGTCACAACCTACCAGAAAGATTTGGGAAGCTGTCAATCCCTGGAGAGCCTCAGGAAAATGAGCTGTAAATGCACCACATTCCCCAGGCTCTGCAGTGCAAGGGTGGAAATTCTGAGCAGCTTCCCAAAGTAGTATCAATATGGATATTTTTGAGTACAGACGTGAAACAG